GTTCTGTACTACCCATTGGGATTGTGGGGAGAGGTGAGGAGGGCTGGACAGATGAGCCCCATCTACCTAAACTGACACTGTTTTCTGCTCTCTCTCACAGCTGGGCATTTGGCTCCAACTCACTCCCCATAGCTGGCTCTGTGGGGATGGGGGTGGCCCGGCGGACCCAGCGGCAGTTCCCAATGCCCCCCCGGGCCCTCCCGCCCAGCAGAATGGGCCTTCTGAGCCCCTCAGGCATTGGGGGCATCTCCCCCAGGCATGCCCTTACCAGCCCCAGCCTTGGGGCACAGGGCCGACAGGTGAGCAACTGAAACTAGAGGGCCTGGCGCTCCTGCGGTTGGGGTGGTGGTGCCTGGGATGTGTGTGTCCGTATCTTTGTATCTGAGCCTGGCATAAAGGGGAGGGGGCTCCTTTACCTGCTCCACCACTCCTGGGCCTCTTCTCCACTCACCCACTTTCTCCCCATGCCCTTTGCAGAACCTATGGTTTGCCAACCCTGGAGGCAGCAACAGCATGCCCAGCCAGAGCCGCAGCTCTGTACAGCGTACCCACTCGCTCCCAGTCCACTCATCGCCCCAGGCCATTCTCATGTTCCCTCCAGGTAAAGTGCCCCAGCACTTGGGACTCTTGCCTCCACAACAACCTTAGCTGTCCTTTATCTTCTCTTCTGTGTCTTGTGTGCTCAAGCACCTCTCCCCATCCTTTCCACCACTCTGCCCCCATCTCCCCTCATTATGGGATTTCATGTACACTTCCCCACCCCCGTTTCAATTTTATCTTTCAGGTCCTGCCTTCCTTTCTCTGTCTTTTCTCACCCCCTACTTCCATATCCACATGTCCACATTTCTCTCTCTGTCCTAATTTTGGTATCCATGTTGATCTCTGTCACCATGTTTGTAGAGAGCATCATTAAATGCTCAGGTTGGAAGGGATTGCAGGGGATAAGAGAGTCAAAGCAGTGAGGTTTCTATGGAGGGAAGTCCTGCCTATCAATCCACCAGCATTTCTTTTAGAAGCCAGGTGATCAGGCCGGAACCATTAGCTCTTGGATCAGATTTTATATTAAAGGCTGTTTGAAGTCGAGGGGTTCTCTTCGCTGTGTTCACAGACAAGCCCAGAGGTAGGAAATCAGAACGAGGGGGAGGTGGACAGAAGGGAGGGTAGAGAAGCATTAGCCCTCCTTGCTCTCAATGAATGAGGATGACTCCTCCACCTTGCACGAGGCCCATTGCTGGGCACCAAGGCTGCGGAGGCAGGTAAGGCTAGTCTAGTCTGGAATGACTGCCTCTGGAGAGATCTTAGATAGCAGGTGACTCTAAACTCTTCCTGTCATAAACTGCCAATCAATAGGGATTATTAATTTAAGAGATAATGTGAGCTGCCATCTCTTAAAGACAGGAGACCCTGTTTGTTGTGTTCATCCTAGCATAAAGTTTGGCATCTGTAAATTATGTTAAAAGACTGGATGGATGAACTGCAAGAGCCAAAAATAAGAACAGTTCTTTTTACCCGTATGCTGTGTGCCAGGCTGTTTGTCAGACATCTGTAGTGCACTGTCAAATCAAACCCTCCTTACTGCACACGAGGCACTGATGTCATTCCTATCTGATCAGTCACCAATCTAAGACACAAAAAGGTGACTTGCCCTAGGTCAAAAGAGAAGGCACTGAAGTGGTCTGACACATCCCTCTGAGCTCAGGGTTCAGAGGGGACATGATGAAAGGTAAAGCTGGAAGTGAGAGCAGGGTCTTCTAAACCAGGTAAAAGCTCAAACTTCCTCTCAGCAGCAATGAAGAGCCCAGGAAAGGAGCTGTCTCCCAGACTCCAGAACAGGAAGGCCTTCAGAGAGGTGGTTTGAGGACAAGCTCTGTGGCTGCTGTCCTGGTTTTGCCCCATCTGTGTGGCCTGCCTGGATCAAATCCTGCCCAGAGGAGCAAGTCCAAGAGGGAAGAGTTCTAATTAAACTTCTGCAGAGCAGGTCATCAGTCAGGGAGCACAGGGCTGCCCAACACCCACAGAAGATGCCCAGATTGCCCACGACAATGTGCTGTGTATGTCCAAAATAGACACAGCCTGTGTGGTCTCCAGGAAGCTCCCTCAGCTTCACATCACTTCCTGTCTGCAAGTCCAGCTTTCTCTGTGTTGGCCAAGCCACCTTTCTCTGCTTTGTGACACACCCAGGCCTCTGTCTTTCACCACACCTTCCATCCTAGTGTGTGCCTGTCTTATGTGATCTGTTTCTCTGTCTCTTCCTCTCCCTCCCTTTCCCTCTTGTATCTCCCATCCTTTCCCCAATGCCAGCCCATCCTGTCCTTTGTCTTCCTGGTTCCACTCTCCACCCCAGTCCAGTCCTTACTGCCTCCACTCTCCTCTGTCCCACACAGACTGTCCTGTCCCTGGGCCTGACCTGGAGATCAATCCCACTCTGGAGTCTCTGTGTCTGAGCATGACAGAACACGCCTTGGGTGGTGAGCATTTCCTCTTTCCCTGACCCAGCTCCCACCTACCCAGCAGCGTCTCTACCTCTGAACTGAGCAGCTCAGAGTCATCCTGAGGGGTCCCTAGGGGAGGCTGGACTTCAGGGAGGACCTGACTGGGATGACAGGCTACCTGAGCACCTTTTCTCAAGCCTCCCACCAGCTCCTGATCTTCCTCCCTTCCTCCCTTTCTTACCACAGATGGGACAGACAAAACCTCCACCATCTGACGGGACCCACAGCCCAGCGCACTCATAGGCTCCCAGGGCGGCGGGCGGGGGCCAACCCCCAACGGGCTTCTCTTCGACAGCGAGAGAGGGTGGGCTGGCTCAGCTATACATTCTAATATTTTTCTACTCTCTTATCCTTTTAATTTGTTTAACATTGGCATATGCCTTGCTCACTCCCAGGCCCATCAAGGGATCTCTGCTGAGGCTGGGGGAGGTAGGGAGCAGCCAGAATACAGAGGGCAGGATCTGGCCAGCCTGCCTGTGCCCTCCTTCCCTCCCTCATCTTCCACCTGGCCCCATCCCACCCCTGCCTCCTCCAGACCACTCACAACCTGCCCCTCCTGAGGGAGCAGCCTCCCCCAGGGACTCACTGACCCACTATCCTGTGGGGCCTGCTCGGAACCATCTGACATTTGGGGAGAGACAAGTAGAGTAGATAACCTGCTCTCCTGAATGTTATTTTGAGAGGCGCTAACTAAGGAGACGGCAGGTGAGGAGAGGAACCTCTCTCTGCACCACCTTCTCCTTCACCCTTCCCATCATTCTCCCAGGACAGGAGCCACCCTCTTCTCACTTCATCTCCTTTTGCCCTGTTTATCAGAGGTTCTCTACAATTAATTTCTTAGACCTATTTAAGATACATATTTATATAGTTCTTAACAGTTTTTCTCTGATCATTCCCTCATATTTAGAATCCCCAGGCCTCTCTCTGAGTCAGGAAAGTGGCAGGGGGAACCTGAATTTTACGAGGGAAGGGGGCAGAGCCCCCTCCTCCAGACTCCCTAGCCCTTCCCCACTTTCCCCCAGCCCTGGCTCCCCAGATACAGAGGTTGAAGTTGGGGGGCCAGGACAGCCAAGTGAGGTCAGGAAGTCTGTTGCCTTAACATCCCCTTCCCCCACCAACATACATTCTTCTCAACTCCCAGGTCTGGTTGCTGAAGGATTTGGGGATAAGGAATAAGGGAAAGGGGATTGTTTGGTTTTTGGTTTCTTTCTCCACCCCCTTTTCTTTGAACCTTCCCCCTATTCCCCATTATGTGATGACCTCATTAAGTGGAACACTATATGATAACCCAGAGATTCATCCAGCCCCTAAGTCATACAGACCCTCTGGTCCCCGTTCCTACTGTGGGGTTGTACTGGGGCCCAGATAGAGAGGAGGGGATTTGGGGGTTCAGGTTGTGGGGAACCCAGGGTCCCCTATTCCAGCCCCCTCTTCTCCCTCAATGACCCCACACTGGGACATTATCAAGCTTTTCACACCGAAAAGGGAAAAAAATGTTATTTTTAGATACATTTTATGAATAACTTTTGTTATGAATATGGCTGGTAACCATTGTGTATGTTATTAAAGATACAAAATGTTGGGAAAAAAAATTTAAAACCACTGCCCTCCCCGCACTCTCACCCCATCCCCCTAATCTTTTTGCCTGTCCTCCTGGTTTGGACCTCCCTCAGCTCTCAGCCCAGGGAGGGGAAGGAAGCCAGGGGGTAGTGTAGCCCTGGGGACCTGCTCCAGGTCCCCACCTCCTCTCCCAGTGCCGGGCTGGGCGGGGTGTCAGGTTTATTTATGTACCTCTTGCACACTCATCAACCTATGCAAGTCCCCCACCCCGGCCCCTCCATGTTTCTGTGCCTTTGCTCATTCCCCTCAAATTCCCAGGGCTTCTCCAGTTCCCCTCCCACTAGCCCGGGGAAGTGGGATGGACAGGGGCCACCTCGTATGGAATCAGCAGGGTGTCCCTCTTCAAGGACCCTCACCTCCTCCCTGCCAGTCCTGTCTTGTTCACTATCCATCAGGGTGAGCTGGCTCTGCCTGGCACTAGGAGGTGGTGAGGGATATCCACACACACATACACACACAATGGGAGGCAAGAGTTGCCCCCCTCCCCCTACCTGACCAGAGTGTGCAGGACGCAGGCGGCCCCACTCTGATGGGCAGGACCCTATACCTCTCCAGTTCCAGCCCCTCTGCCATGATTTCACCCTCCCTTCTATTCCCAGCCCCACTGGCAGAATCAGCTTTGAGTAACTGTACAGTTTTTCTCGCTGTTGGAGATTTATTTGTTTGAGTTTCACTTGTTTAATGGTCTGGGCTTATTTTGGAAAAAAAAAAAAAAAGCAACAACAACAAAAAAAAATATTCTGACCTTTGTTATGCTACATTTCATTGGAAGTCTAACAGTCCTGCCTCTGTGACCTTTGCTTCTATGCCTCAGGCTGAGGCCACTGAGTACCTGAGGTTGGGGTAGGAGGGGGTAGATACAGGCAGAATGAGTCCATAAGGCCTGGGAAGGGAAATAGAGAAGCTGGCTTTATTAACAGCAAAGGTTTGGAGGAGAGAAACTGAAAGGCTCGCAAACAGCACAGAACAGTGCCTTCCTGCACATAATCATCATGTCCGTGCCAGCCCCAAAAGGACTCAGTCACTGTCACTGTCTGCTTCACTGGAATCAGAAGCTGCAGCTTCACTGCCATCCTCCTGGGCTGATCGTTCACTGCCACTGGGGAATGGACTGGCACTGCGGCTGGGGCTCGGGCTGCGGCTGGGGCTCGGGCTGGGGCTGCGGCTCCGCTGACCACCCCCCTCACTGCCACTTTCTGAGTCATTGTCACTGCCATGGACTCGTCCTCTGTCGTCGTCGTCAGAATCGGCATCTTCTGAATCCGCATCACTGCCAAAGATCTCCTCTTTGTCCCGGGCAGCTCGGGCCTCATCCTCACTGCTCTCCTCCTCACCGCTACCACTCTTGTCGCTTGCCTCATCCCTTTCACCCTCTTCCCGTTCACTCTCACTGCCTGAGCGCTCATCCTCACTGCCTTCTTTCTCACTGCTGCTGCCCTTCTCTCGTTCCTCATCTGTGAGGGAAACAAAAAGAAGTGAGACCCAGTTCCCAGCCTCCCAGGGCGGATTCCCAGTGACAGGGATTGACCTATGCAGCTTTACCTGAGCCCCCAGCTTCTTTCTCTTCCGTCTCCATTTCCTCCTCCTCCTCTTCCTCAGGTTCATGGTTCTCCAGCTGGGCCTTCCGTGCCTCCTGGGAAGCAGCAGGGTTTAGGGGAAGAGAAGGTATTCTATCAGGCTTCTGTTTCCCTCTTCACCCACCACCACACTCCCCATGGGTGCCCTGAGCCAGTGGGGCTTGTTACCTGGGCTTCTAATTCCTTCTCATTCATGTCACGGTGCTTGACCACAAGCAGGGCATTGGTACCCGACTGAACCCCAGCCTTGGCCCTGCGCTTACTGAGGCGGACCCTGCAGTGGGCAAGTTGAGGGGAGAGGTATGGAAGATGCAGTTAAAGAACCCCAGTGGGGGACCTGGTTTGACTGGGATTTTAGGTTCCTAACCAATATTTAGCCCAGAACAGACCAGAATAAATACAGATTGAATAAGGAAGACTAACCTCTGGTTTGAGGCAGGGGAGAGAAAGAATAATGGCTCCCAAGATATCAGTTTGGTTGCCTTTGTGTATAGATTTTAATGTGAATCAATTACCAACACTTAAAAACAGAACCTAGATTCCTAGTTTTGGGAAAATACGAATGTATGGCCCCACTGGGCCTTTTTGGGTTGGAGTCCTTTGCTGGGCTGGGTCATGCGGTGCCCCTTGGAGCCCAGCAACAGTTCTGGGTCACCCATGCCCCCCCCCCCCACAACCAGCCCATGGTGCCACCTTCCATATTTCCTGCCTGGCTTCCAGGATCTGAATTTGTAATTTCTGATTCAAAAAGAAATTCAAGGTCACACATTTCCCCTCCCAACCTTTACACCAAAGGCCCCAGACAACAGTAAAATTTTAGCCATCGGGGAAGAGTTTTTAGGGCCACATTTTTGCACTTGGGTATCCAGCATTTCATTTAAAACATACTAATTTTATGTGTAATCCTATACTTTGTTTACTTTCACATGAAGTCTCAATATCAGGAAGCACAAGAGGTCTCTATATCTCCAGCATTACCTAAAGACCTTCCTGGGGGTTCTTGCGTTAGAAACAGGTCTAGTCCACATGCATGAGCAGGCTTTTGCTGCTCCTGCTTACAAATGCATGTGACGAACCCTTAGGTACAAATGATCTCCAAGGTGGTATATCCCAGGGTCTTGATCCTGAAGCACAGGCCCAGACTAATCTGAGGTAGGAATGCACTGAGTACCTGGTCTCCAACTCATTGTAGTAAACTCCGTCACCCTCTCGGAAGATGAAAAAATAGTTTTCCTCATAACCCTTGCTAGCCTTGTTCTTCACATTCCAGTTGTATTCCCGAGCAATCTTGTAGTCATACCTGAGGATGAGGGGAACACGGTCAGCCCCATTTCTTCCCTATGAGAGGTAAAGGGAGACACACTTCTCAATCTCCAAAACCTAATCCCAACCCACGCACACATCATCTGGTGCATAGTCCATCTCCTCCTCCTGGTCCCGCTTTCGTTTCTTCAGTGTCTCTTCCACAGGCAGGAAGTAGGCTACAAATTGGTTCCCTTCCTCATCCATCATGCCTCTGGTTGGAAAAATAAGAGGAGCAGTGATAAATGAGGTCAAAAGGCAATGAGGAATAGGCCAAGATTAAAGGCAAGGCCACTTACCTGATCATAGCCTGAGACATCATCTCCAATGCAGCTGCACCACTGGTGTCCTTGGGGGCTGGGTCTGAGTCAAAGATTACCTGAGCGCATGGATTAATCCACATCTGGGGAATAGCGGGCATTGGAATTAGAAGTCAGATGGGCAGAGATGGCAGGCTATCCTACCCTCTACCCCCTGTCCCAGATCTGACCTTAAAGTCTGGGAAGACAGGCATGACCTCCACTGGTGTCACTCGGGGCTTGCTATAATGCTGGGAGATCTGGTAGGGACAAAAATAGGATGAGAAGGAGAATAAAGAGCTCTGCAGCCAACTGTTATTTCCTGCCTCCCCCCATCTTAGTCCCTCAATTACCGATTTCTGGGCATCCTCAAAAGTCTTCTCAATGGCTGTGATTTGGCTATCCCTGTCTTTGTAAATTTCTTCCTCAGTAAACTGTTGTTTCACAGAAACCCCAATCCTATGGGTGAAGAGAGAGGCTTTTAGGGGCCACTGGACACACCTGAAATTTCCACCTTCCCTCCATACCCACCACAACTTACTTGACTTCAGGCTTCTCATTGGAGATGCCATAACGGTTGAATTCAGTGGAGATGTACTCTGTCTTCCGCATCCATGGCACCACCTTTGCATGCTGCTGAGACCTAGGGTGGAGGATCAGACACTTCAGGACCCCATACCCTCCTTCCATTGGAGCCAGTTCCCAGTCCCCACTCAGCACTCCCTTACCTCTTGGAGCTAGTGGGGGCCTGAATCTCCTCTTCCAGAAGCTTTTCATCAGCTGGGTCTAACAGTACTGGAGAGCAAGAGAACAAGGAGACCATGATGGAGACCCAGGCCTGACCTTTGCTAGCCTAAAGCAGGCCCTCCCTGCCTTCTTACATACCATTGGGGTCAATGCGGTAGGTGTCAGGGTTGATGAGGTCAATGGTGACCCCCAGGTCTGGCTCAGTCAGAAGGTCATGTTTGTGCTGTTTTTCCAAGGAAGTTGCTTTGTACTGGACGAACCTGGGTAGGGAAACGTGCCCATTATGGTTTCCTGATTCAGCTTTACCACTCAAATCCCTGCTTCATAGAGGCTAAGCTTCTATAGGGAGGAACTCAAGAGTGGAATATCCCCCATGTTGGGGTCTAAAGGCTGGCTCTCTGAATAAGAAGAGACTTGGACACTGCTTGCTCATCAGTAAATATTTACCAGGCACCTACTACTACAGTATGTGCTCGGTACTGTTCTAGGCCCTGAGGAAAGTGCAATCAACATAAGAGGTCCCTGGCCCTCAAGGAGCTCATACTCTAAATCACTTGTTTCCCATTCCCAATCTTAGTCTCACCTGTTCTGGTCGAAAGGGTAGGTAATGAATTTGGGGTCGAAGGGGATGTCAGGGAGGCTATTGCAGTACTTGACACGGCAAACGACTCCAGACCTGGGAACACAATAGCTCATTTAAAAAGTTGCTATGAAGATCAAAGGAAAAAGTATCAACTCAAACTACAATAATTAGGGAGGAGACGCACAGCACAAAAAGACATAAAACATGAATAACAAAGTATGGAGGGGGCAGTAAAAATGTAGTCCCTATAAAATATATTTGAATTGAAAAGCTTATCATCTTAAAAATACTCTGCTAATGATATCCATAAACCTCATGGTAATCACAAACCAAAAACCAACAAAAGATACACAAATAATAAAGAGAAAGGAACCCCAACAAAGTATTAAAGAAAACCAGCAAACCACAAGAGAAGAAGAAAAACAGAGGACTATAAAAAACAACCAAAGAACACTGAACAAAATGGCAATAAGTACATACTTATCCATGACTGAAAGACATAACAGACTGAAAGTCAAAGGATGGAAAAAATCCCCCCTTTCTAGCTCTCCAGTATTCCTGTGCCTTTCCCTGCCTGCTGCTCTCCTCGCCCCACCCCGCCCCTTTCTTCCCCTCAAGTAGCTTTGCTTGCTTTCTCCTAAGCTTCAAGGGCTGCTCTGTAACTTGCTTCCTGAATCTATAAAGCCTAACTGGCTCATTTCAATGACTTTTTAAATAAACTTTTACTTGTATTTGGAAAAAATAATATTAAGATACCCCATGCAAATAGAAACAAAAAGAAAACAAGTAGCAGTCCTTGTCAGACAAAATAGACTTTATTATAAACAAAAAATGTAAAAAAAAGAAAAGAAGGACAGCCCTGGCTGGTGTGGCCCAGTGGCCCAGTGGATTGAGCACTGGCCTGCAGACTGAAAGGTCACCGATTCAATTCTGGTCAGGGCACATGCCTGGGTTGCATGCCAGGTCCCCAACTGGGGGCATGCAAGAAACAACTGATAGATGTTTCTCTCCTACAGAGATGTTTCCCTCCATTCCCCTCTCTCTAAAATTAAGTAAGTAAAATCTTACGAAGACAAGGACATTACATAACCACAAAGGGGTAAATCCAAGAAAGAATATAGCAACTGTAAATATCTATACACCCAACATAGGAGCACCTAAATGGATAAAGCAAATATTAACATATAAAAGGAGAAATCCATAGTAATATAGTAGGTAGCTTTAGTAGCTCATTCACATCAATGGATAAGTTCATCCAGACACAAAATTAATAAGGAAATAATGGCCTTCAATGTCACATTAGATCAGATAGACTTAAGAGACATTTATAGAACATTTCATCCAAAAGCTGCAGAGTGCACATTTTTTTAAAGTGCCTATGGAACATTCTCCAGGCTAGGACCACAAAATTAAACTGAAATCATAACAAGCATCTTTTCCAACTTCAATGTCATAAAACTACAAATGAACTACAGGAAGAAAACTGGAAAAACACAAATACATGGGAGACTAAACAACATACTACTAAACAGATCAAAGAGGAAATCAAACAGGAAGTCAAAAACTATCTTGCCCTGGCTGGTATGGCTCAGTTGGAACTTTGTCCCATATACCAAAGGGCTGGGGATTCGATTCCTGGTCAGGACACATAAATAGGTTGCAGGTTCCATCCCCAGCTGGGGCACATACGGGAGGCAACCAATCGATGTTTCTCACATCAGTGTTTCTCCCTCTCTCACCAAAATCAATGTATTTTTTTTAATTACCTTGAAAGAAATGAAAACTTTTCAAGAATTATGGGATGCAGTAAAAGTTCTAGTTACACAGGCCTACCTCAAGAAACAAGAAAAATCCCAAGTAAACAACCTATCTTTACACCTAAAGGAACTAGAAAAGAACAAAGCTAAGGAAAGCAGGAGGAAGGAAACTGTTATGGTCAGAAAGGAAATAGAAATTTTAAAAATAATAGAAAAGATGAATAAAACTAAAAGCTGGTTCTTTGAAAAGATAAACAAAATTATCAAACCTTTAGCCAAACTCATCAAGAAGAAAAAATAACCCAAATAAATCATCAAGAAAGAGAATGTATAGCCAACACCACAGAAATACAAAGAATCATTCAAAAAATGCTATTATATGCCAAGTTCAATAATCTAGGAAAAAAATGGATAAATTTCTAGAAATATATAATAATCTTAGACTGAACAAAAAGAAATAGGAAATCTAAACAGATCAATTACCAGCACTGAAATTGAAGTGGAAATCAAAACTTCCTAACAAAAGTCCAGGACCAAAAAGCTTCACAGGTGAATTCCACCAAACACTCAAAGAGTTAACATATCCTTTTTGAACAACTTCAAAAAACTGAAGAGGAAGAAACACTTCCAAACTTATTCTACAAAACCAGCATTGCCTTGATATCAAAACCAAAGACACTGCAAAAAAAAAAAAAAGAGGGGGCTGTAGTTTGAGATCTTGCTCCCCTGCATTGTGGTGTTAGCCTGGCTTAAATAAACTCATAAAAATTTAAAAGGAAATTACTAGCTAATGTCCTTAATGAACACAGATGCAAAAATTCTCAACAAAAGATTATCAAACCAGATTCAACAATACATTAAAAGGGTTATATACACCATGAACAAGTGGGATTTATCCCAGGGATGGTTCAACATCTATAAATCAATGTGTCACAAAGGCTAACAAAACAAAGGATAAAAACCAGCCCTGGCCAGTGTGGCTCAGTGGGTCGAGTGCTGGCCTGCAAACCAAAGTGTTGCCAGTTCAATTCCCTGTCAGGGCACATGCCTGGGTTGTGGGTCAGGTCTCCAGTAGGGGGCACTTGAGAGGCAATCACACATTGATGTTTCTCTCCTCTTTCTCGTTCCCTTTCCCTCTCTCTAAGAATACAGAAATAAAATCTTAAAAAAAAAAAGCTATATGATCACCTCAAAAGACGCAGAGAAAGCATTTGCTAAATTCAACATCACTTTATGATAAAAACTCTCAACAAAGTGCATATAGAAAGAACATATCTCAATATAATAAAGGCTTATATATGACAAACCCACAGCTAATATCATATGCAATGGTGAAAAACTAAAGCTTTTCCTCTAAGATTAGAAACAAGACAAGGATGCCCATTACCATAGTACTGTAAGCCCTAGCCACAGCAATTAGTAAGATATAAAAGACATCCAAATCAAAAAGAAGTAAAACTCATTTTTTGCAGATGACCTAAATACTATATATAGAAAACCCTGTGGAACCCACCAAAAGAAAAAAAGATCAGAATAAATGAATTCGGTAAAGTTGCAGGATACAGAATCAACATACAGAAACCTGTTGCATCTCTATACATTTACAATTGCATCAAAAAGCATAAAATTTCAAGGAGTAAATTTAACCAAAGTGAAAAACCTGTACTCAAAAAACTGTAAGACACTGAAGAAATAAGCTGAAGATGCAAATAAATGAAAGATATACCTTGCCCATGGATTGAAAGGATTAATATTGTTATGCCCTTGTACCTAAAGCAACTTACAGAGTCAATGCAATCCCTATTAAAACACCATTGGCATTCCTCTCAAAACTACAACTAATGCTAAAATTTATACAGAACCATAAAAGACCCTGAATAGCCAAATAAATTTTGAGAAAGAACAAAGTGGGAGGTTTCACACTCCGATACACTATGCTATACTATAAAGTTACAATAATCAAAACAATATGGTCCTGGCATAAAAACATAGATCAATGGTAGAGAATAAAGAGCTCCCCCAAAATCCTTCACTTATATGGTCAATTAATCTATGACAAAGGATATACAATAAGGTAAAGACAGTCTCTTTAGTAAGTTGAATGCAACTGGACCACTTTCTTCGACCATATACAAAAACAAACTCAAAATGGATTAAAAACTTAATCCTGACAACATAAAACTCCTAGAAAAAAAACAGGTGGTAAAGTCTTTGACATTGTTCTTAGCAATATCTTTTTGCATATGTCTCCCGACACAAGGACAACAAAAGAAAAAAATAAATGGGACTACATCAAACTAAGAAGTTTTTGCACAGCAAAGGAAACTATCAACAAAACAAAAGATAACCTACTGAGTGGGATAAGATACTAGTAGCAAATGATACATCTGATAAGCAGCTAATATCCAAAATACATAAGGAATTCATACACCTTACACACACACACACACACACACACACAATCCAGTTTAAAAACAGGCAGAGGACCTGACTAGATATTTCTCCAGAAAGGACAAACAGATGACCCACAGACATGAAAAGACCACCAGGTAAATGCAAATTAAAATCACGAAGAGATATCACCACACACCTGCCAGAATGAAAAAATAAGTGCTGCTGAGGATGTGGAGAAAAGGGAGCTCTCCAAACACTACTGATGGGATTGTAAATTAGTGCAGCCACTATGGAAAACAGTATGGAGATTCCTCAAAAAATTAAAAAAAGAGCTGCTATACAACCCAGCAATTCCACTTCTAGGTATTTATCTGAAAAAAAAACCAAAACCCTAATTGGAAATAGTATATGCACCCCATGTTCATTTGAAGCATTACTAGTTAATCAAATAGCTTTAGCAACTTTGATGTCCATGAACAGATGAGTGAGTAAAATCTGTTGTATATGTATGTATAATGGAATATTACTCAGCAATAAAAAAGAATAAAATTTTGCCATTTGGAACAACACGGATGGACCTAGAGAGTATTATGTTTAATGAAATATGTCAGAAACAAATACTGCATGATTCCACTTGTGAAATCTTAAAAAAACAAAATAAAACAGAAACAGACCCACAGATATAGAGAACAAGCTAATATTTGCTAAAGGGGAGGAAGGTGGGAGTTTGGGGGAAAATAAAAAAAATAAAAACAGCTGATATATTTGGGAGGGAGGGTTGGAAACCGGCCCTTGCTGCCCACCTCTGCTTCCAGCCCCCATTGGCCCACCCCTCTTATGAAAACAAAATGGGGGGAAAAAAGAAAACATAATGGGGCTCACCTCTCAGGCAGAGTCCGGTGGGAATTGGGCCTGGTAGGTGAGAGAGAGAGAGAGAGAGAGAGGCATTGGTAGAAAGATGGAGTAGAGGAGATTGACAGGAGAGTGAAGGCGCCTTCTCCAAGTTTTTAAAAGGTAATTTCTTTGGTATGGGTGCTTAACTGCTTTAATAAAGGGAACCAATTATTCAATTCCTTTTAGAAAAAAAGTGTCCCTAAATGCTTAAATGAATGAAGCAAAATACTCAATCCCTTTTCAAGGGGGTGTCTTCAAGTATGTAATAAAAAGAACCACATACTTGTGTTTGGAAAAAGAGATCTCCAGACGCTTGCCTGGAGGCATAAGAGCTCAATACCTTCTGAATAAAGTCTCCAAGAGCTTAATTCCCGAATTCCTTGTCAGGGAGAAGGGGCAACACCCCATCCCTGAAGGAACCCCTCTCCCCCTCAAAGGTGAGCGCTCCATGACGTAACGGGAAGACCCGGAGGGCTCGTGACATTCTAAGTAGATACCCGAGCCCGACCCTCCGCCTCGCTAAAACCTGGATAAACGATAGAGCCAAGCGGCGAAGTCTACCTGTGGCCATCTTCCCGCTGGGCCTGGGTCTGGATGGTGGGCGCCATAGCGACGAGGCGACGGTCGTCCGGACTGGGCCCCGGCTGAGCTGCGGAGGGAAAGGTGGACCGTGCCGACTTCAACAGACACCTACTCCGAGGCAGCGCTCGGGTTAGCGCTCCTATCCGTGTGGGGTTAGCGTCGTAAAGAGGTGGGCTGATGAGAAGCGTTACAGTGGGGTACTCAAGTAAACACCCAGCCCGCTATTCTCGGCTGCGGACCCACCAACTGCCGCCAGGACCGAGAAGCGCGGACAAGTTCCCTCGGGCCGCGAGGCCTTCTGGGAAGTAGAGTCCGAGTTAAAGCCACACCCGGATTGGCCAGGGACTGGGTAAGAAGGGGCGGAGCCAGAGAAGGGCCTTTTGTGATTGGTGAATAGGTATGTTAGTCTGAACGTCTGATTTGAGAATGAAGTGTTGGAGAGGTGGGTTCCTTCTTTCCGCCCATTGGCTGAATTGTTTGAGTGGCGCTAACTAGCTAGAGGGGCCTGGAGCTGAAGATGCTCAAAAGAAACCTGGAAGGACGCACTTGTTGACGCACTGTTAACGCACTTCCGGCGCGCTGCGTGAGGAAGATGGCTGCGTCTCAGCAGCAAGTTTCTGCGGCCTCCTCTGCTACTGGTGTGTCGGGACCAGGCTCGGCTGGTGGCCCAGGTGCTCAGCAGCAACCGCAGCCACCGACACAACTGGTGGGATCTGCCCAAAGCGGACTTTTGCAGCAACAGCAACAGGACTTCGACCCTGTGCAGCGCTATAAGATGCTCATCCCACAGCTGAAGGAGAGTCTTCAGGTGATTCGCCGGGACCTTCTGGAAATTAGCGGGGTTTGGTTCTCTGACTCAGAGGGGGCAGACTGGGGGGATGCTTAGGTAGGGAGCGAGTAAAAGGAGCTCTAGGCAGGGAAAAGGAGTTAGACTTGGTCTTCGTGGGAGCAGCGCGGATGTTGAGCCTGGGATTGGCTGGAATTCGACTGGGAGGGAGTTTAAAAGAGAAACCGGGCTCTGGTCGTTAAAGCCTGAGAAAAGGGCGGCTCGTACAGAGAGATTCTGCTCGCTTTGGTGGGGGAAGAGAGGACCCTAAAGTATTTCGGGAGGTCATTGGCAAGAACCCCAAGTGAGAGCAGGTCGTTGGAAAAATACTAGTGGTTTTGCTATAGAGAAGTGGAAGCGGGGGTTACTCTGGAGTTACAGGAGAGGTGTCAAGTGAAGATGAGACCTGAAATTTATTGGATCTTAAAGAAAAAGTAGACTGCCAAAAGTGTCCCCTTCTGTTTCAACATCTCCCGCATCTTTTTTCTTTTTTTTTTTCTTTTTTTTTAACTAGACTTTGATGAAGGTTGCAGCCCAGAACTTGATTCAGAACACTAACATTGACAACGGACAGTGAGTGTAGTTCCGTTTCCCAGGATGTCCTTTTGTGTTTACCCTATTCTTAGAAACTCATCGCCCAGCCCCACCCACCCACCCACCCTCCCTCCTATTTTCAGTCTGGGTTCCCGGCCTTGCTCTTTCTGCCTTTTCTACAACTACCCATCCCCTAATCCCTGCTTCAGGGCTTCTGGGCCATTACCTGGTTTCCTGATGATACTTGGTTGGGTAGAGACTGATGTACCAGAGATTGGAAATCCATTCCTCAGTCTCCTTCTTCTCTTGGTCTATAGAAAAAGCAGTGATGGACCCATACAGCGCTTTGACAAGTGTCTGGAGGAGTTTTATGCCCTCTGTGACCAGCTGGAGCTCTGCCTGGTAAGAAGCCTCCTAGACACTGGGTGACCACAACCCTGATTCAGTCCCTGGGTCTTCAGGAATCCTCATTCAGTCAGTCAACACACACACACTGAGCACCTCCTGTGGACCCTGGGCCAGACCTGTGCTTCAGCTGATGTTGGGGACACCGTATTGTCCTGATCTTTGTCCTCACAGAGCTTCTAGTTCAGTGGGATGACATACGTTCCCCAACAATGATGGTTCAGAGTGCTAAGAGCTGTGGTGGGAGAAGCCCAGGCCTCAGAGATGAGGGCTCAGATGGTGGTGGAGACACAGTTGGAGAAGTCAGGATTAAAATGAGGGAAGCTGAAGGAGCTGTGGAAGCCCAGAGAAGGCATCTGACCCTACCTAGGATGGTACTAGGGAGAGATTGGCTCAGCGAAGGCTATTGGTGGAGAGCACGTTGGAGCTGAGGCAGTAACAAAAATGGAAGAGGAAAAGAAGGGCAAGTGGTTAAGTGCACAGCATCTGAAATCAGATGGACCAAGAACCTCAACCTTTGAGCCTTGGGTTCCTCCCTTGGAAAATGAATTTTCAAGAAAGACTCAACAAGTTCATGCATGTAAAGTACTTAATATGGTACAAAGCACATAGCAAACATTTCCTGTAGTATCATAATTGTCATCATTGTTTTCAGTGTATCGTCATTGTTATTATTTTGAATCAGGTTTTGAAGGAAAAGTTGGGTTTGAGAAGCCTGGTAGTAGTAGAAAGGTATTCCAACCCAAAGGAACAACTTCTCCTTTAAGTTCCCTTTAGGGGTGTCATGAAATACAGTCTGGCTGAGGTGTACTTGGCATTAGGGCTTGTTGAATTTTTTTTTAAGTGCTAATGGCAAGATTTATTAGAGCAAAAACAAAGGAAGGGCTTAGAATAGAAGAGGCAAGATCACAGCAGCGAGAGTAAGCCTAGGCTGTGCTGCCTAGAGTAAGGAAGGAAAGTTATAGAGGCAAAAGGAGACTTTTTAAAGCCCACTGCTCCCCTGGTTGCAAGTCTCATGGGATCCTTACAGTTTAGGAGGAAAAAAAGAAAAGAAAAGTATGGTCTGAAGAAAGGGGGGTTGTTGCTACAAGGTTGCTGAATTTTTAATATAGCACTGAGGGGGCTGGGAAGCCATCCAGGATTTCAGGCAGGGAAGAACATGGACCCATTGCTTTTTTAAGAATATTCCCCTGGCTTCCAAATGAAGGCTGGGTTAAAGGGGCCAGGATAGAGGCTGGGAGTTCAAGGAGACAGCCATGACAGGATTCAATGGGCAAGGCTCTAGCAAGGCAGGGCCCTGAGGAAGAGGGGAAAGGTATTTGGGAGAGACCATGGAACTGACAGGTTGCTGTAGGAGGAGCTTTCAGGATGAGGCTCAGGGCTCTAGTCAGAATGATAGGCTATCCCTTAGACAGGGAACTGGGAAGGGGACCGGTTTCAGGGGAGAGGGTGATAGCTCTGGATTCCCAGGGAGGCTGGAGACACATATGTACTGTCATCAGTGCAGAGGTGAGCATTGAGTGTTGTGTAGGGATTAGACAGCCTCAAGAGGGCATGAGAATGAGAGCAGGCGATGGCCCATGGGAATTGCTGTATTTAAGAAGGCTTGGGTAGATTAAGTACATAGGCCAGGGAGGCCACCCGAGGCAGGCCCTTGGGGCAGGGTTGGGAGTACCCTGAGCGAGACTGATGCTGCACCTTGCCTGCCTGTCCACAGCGCCTTGCACATGAATGCCTATCACAGAGTTGCGACAGTGCCAAGCACTCTCCCCTGCTGGTGCCCACAGCCACCAAACCAGATGCTGTACAGCCTGACAGTCAGCCCTACCCTCAGTACCTGGCACTCATCAAAGCCCAGATTGCCTGTGCCAAGGACATTCACACCGCTCTGCTGGACTGTGCCAACAAGGTTACAGGGAAGACTCCTGCACCACCTACAGGCCCTGGGGGTGCCCTGTGAGGTGGCAGGGCTGGGAGTGGGGTAGGCTGTGGGGGAGAGGGATAGGGAAGGAATAAAGAGTGGCTTCAAAGCAGCTTTGTGACTTTTCTTCACGCCTTAGCTCTTGGGTGGCAGCCAGCAGGGGGCAGCAGAGGCCAGCAGGAAGCCCATCAGGAAGTGGAGACCGCTGCTCTGTGAACTGCCTGCTCTCCTCCCTAGGGAGGGTAGACTTTGGACTGTGCCTGTGTAGGACCTCCTTCTGGGGTATTTCCACTACGTGCCCTGGGTGTGAAGCCCTAACTGGGCCCCTCTCCGTCCATCATTACCTGATTCTGTCCCAGTGTGGGCATGGTCTCTGTGTCTGCTCCTTTTCTAGCGCTTCCCTTGTATGTGTCTGCTGCATGTCTGTTGTCTGTCTGGTTCAGTCTTTTTGTCCATGTGTTTCTCTGCTTCTGTGGTCTTGTGTCTCCCTGTCTGTGACCCTCTTTCTCTTTCAGTTCCCTTTAGTGTCTTCTGCCCCCAACTCCTCACTGGGACTCTTGTGTCTATGAAGGAGATCAGATTCTGGGAGCCAGAACCCCTGGGATACCTGAGGCTAGGGGAGGGAACTCCATTTCAAGGGGCTACAGCCAAGCCCAGAGATCCCAGGCACCTTCCACATCAGCCCAGCCCCCGTATCCTTGGCCCAGGAAAGGGGAAGTAAAAGGGTCTAATCCCTGACCTCAGCATGCCTGGTTGGGGAACAATTCAGGCCCCCACCCATACCCAGGGCTTGCGTCAGCAGCCCTTAAACTAGGGGTATTGTGCAATCCGTGGTGAAGCCTGCCCCAGCTGGATGCCTGGGTCCCTGTATTTTTAGCCCCAAAGGAGAAGTGAAAGGGCCCCAGAAGCGGTGAATCATCAGTCCTGGGGAAGAACCCAGATGCCTGGGACCCAGCTCCGGGAAGCAGAACTTGGGGAGGGGGCTTTGGGGAGGGAGTATCCCACTAGACTCCCCAGTTCTCTGAGAGCAGATTTTGGGGAGCCCAGCCATGGCCTTCAGGCCTGGGCAAGTGCAGGGTGGAGCTACCTGCCCAGGCCAAGCTGGTGGGTGTGAAAGGCTCAAGTGACTCAGCCTGAGGTGGGGGGAGGAGGGAGGACTGCCCCACTGGCAACACCTTATCTGCCCTGATTCCCATGTCACTGTCCAGAGGCCTCCCATCCTGGACCCCACATCTGCAAGGCAACCCTGGGACCATGGAGACTCATGATTCCCCCAAAGCCCAAGTCCCCACACTGGAATCCTGGGAAATGGCCAGCCATGAGCAGGGGTGTGTGTATATCAGACAAGTAGCACAGGCCCTCAGGAAAGGCAGCAAGCCTCTAGGTCACTAGCTGATGCTGCTGTTCACAGGTAGAATTTCTTCCTTAGGGAAGCCACACCTCTGCCCATTTACTTGACTGTATCAGCTCCCCTACCTGATTCCCCGGATCCTATAGGGCAGAGGTGTCCAAACTTTTGGCATCTCGGGGTCCACACTGGGAGAAGAGTTGTCTTGGGCCACACATTAAATACCTTACAATGTGTAATCACAAAAATATCT